ATCAGTCCTAGAAATGGACTGGATCTGTCTTACCTGCTTAAGGCCAAGGTCTCTGCCTACAGGTGCCTACCTTGGAGACTAGATTCTAGATTCATGTTTTCACTTTCCTGTGTTCTCTTGGATTTCAGATAAACCTACATCTCTATAAATATAGCCCCTCTTGCTTCCCAGAGTTGCTGGGGTGTCCCTGAAAATCCTGCTAGGCACAAAACCTGATGAAGGATGATACTAAAAAATTGGGGCCCTTCATTATTTGCTGCAAAAGTGTTTTTGCTTTTTGCAGGCCTTTCCTACTGATTCTTGAATCTATTTGTAAAAATGACCACTAATGGTTTGTGCTTAGAAATGGTTTATAGAAAAATTTGAATTAAAAAAAAAAAAATTTTAAATGGCAAGAAAAGACTGTAATTTTTCATAGAATTCATGGCTTATTCTACTTTGCTTTTTTAGAAAAGGAAAAGTATTCCATTAGAAGAAGACTCAATACACCTATAAAAACAGAACTTCCCATTAGATTCTGAATTGCTGACATTCCACAGAAAGTATGCACAAGCACCACATTGCCAAAACCATCATCAAAAGGACAAACACAAGGAACATTCCTTCTTTAGGAACTTAATAGTTATTTTATATTGCAGCTGATTGGCTAAGTCTCTTCCAATTTTCCCATATGAGTATTTCATTGATATCTTAAAGCCATTCTTTTTAAAACTATATTTAAAATACGCATTTTTCTAAAACTACTTACTTTCCTCTGCGTAGACGACCACTAAAACAATTAGGTAATTTTGAGGAAATATCCATCTATATCTGTTATGATCTCTTTTTCATTATCTACAGTTTTAACCACTGTTTTCTGATTGTCTCTAGAGCTGCGTACTGTATTGGATTGTGTTTAACTAGTTTATTGATCTCATTTATTGGATGAGAACTGCTGATAAAGCTTCTCTTAAACTTGAAGCAGGGAAGAATAGTTGCAATGAGTCTGAGCTCTTCATTCTAAAAGCAGAGGTTCAACTGCTTGACTCAGGAAGTAACGTAAGTCAGCATATTTCAAATTACTATGGCTAGCACGTAAACTTTCACCCTCAGGAGTCTCTTCACTTTGGTTTCAGAGACATTAATAACATGAATAAATATCATTGCTACCGGTGTGGTCTACTGTATTTGAAAATCTTATTTTGTTTTCAGGTTACTATGTTCTCATGTTTTTCACTAATTATAAACTGCTGAACTAAAAAAAAAGATGCATGAAAAAATGAACTTTATTCTAAACTATGTGATAAATAACTTGATCATTGTGGGAAAGTGGCATATCATGGGAAGGAAAGGTGCCTTCCTTTTACATTTAATTTAACACGGAAGTGCTTCTTGGAACCGTGATCAGATCCAATTCTGAACAATGGTACTAAGGTAAAGAGCATTAACAAAATTTTTTCCATTCAAGTATGCATCACAATATGAAGCACATATCTCAGTTTATAATACCATACCTTTGATTTACATAGAAAAAGAGCTTTGACAAATTATATCTATTGAGAAATAACAACTGATCTAGTTCTGGATAAAAGAGAATAGATGCATTTTTCCTCACTTCTCTTGCTAATTTCAGCAAAACTCCCTGGACATTACATATAAAACAAACATAAGAAGACTCTGAAAGGTAGAGAGAAGGCAGCAGATGAGCTAGGAATGACATGGAAGTGAATTCTCCATTGTGTTTATTTTTTTGCTGGACTAGGTATGGGAAAGCTGGCAACCCGGAAACACCAACAGGCTCAGACAAAAAAAAGCCTTAAGAAAAGCCAGCTCTCTCTAGCCAAACAACCAGCAAAGGAGCAGAGTAACAGGACACAAAAAATTCAGACAATAACTGTCCTACTCTAGTCAAACACCATGGAAAACACCGTGCCCCAACTCCATCCCTGTCAATGAAGGCCAAGTGGGGAGCTTAGACCTCTATGCTATACCAGCTATAACAGGGTGCGCCAACACGTGGCAGGGTGGTGTCAGAAAAGGCCAAATGGAAAGCCTGTAATCCCATCCTGCCCAGAAGTAAGGAGGCACATCCCCCAGGGTGTCAGTGGAGGCTAAATGAGAAACTTGGGGCTTTTACGCCTACCTGGCAGTAATGAGGTAATAACGTTTTACCCTCACTGGTATAGTTTCAGAAAATCTTGCTAAAACAGGAGATTTAAATAAAATATAGAGTCTCATAAATAATATGCAAAATCTAGGCTACAATGTAAAATCACCCATCATACCAAGAACCAGGAAAATCTTGATTTGAATGAGCGAGGACAATCAATAGACATCAACAACCAGATGACAAAACTGTTGGAATTATCTGACAAGGATTTGTAAGCAACCATAATAAAATTCTTCAATGAGCAATTACAAGTACACTTGAAACAAACAAAAAACAGTAAGTCTCAGAAAAGGAAAAGCAGATATAAAGAAGATCCAAATGAACTGGTAGAACTGAAGAATATAATAGAAAACAAAAAAATTAATTGATGAGCTCAACAGCAGAATGGAGGAAAATAGAGGAAAGAATCAATGAACTTGAAGATAGAACAACAGAAGTTACCCAATCAGTACAACAACAAAATAGACAAAAAAAACCAAACAAAAAAAAAAGAAAAAGAAAACAGAGCCTCAGGGATCCATGGGGTAATAATATGTCTAATACATGTGTCATGAGTGTTTCAGAAGGAGAGGAGAAAGATGGTGAGGCAAAAAGGTATGCAAAGAAATAAGGCTAAAAATTTCTCAAATTTGGTAGGAGACATAACTTTACAGATTCAAGGGGCTAAGTGAACCTTAAATAGGATAAATCCTAAGAAATCTAGGCTAAGATACATCGTAGTCAAACTAAAGACAAGGGGAATCTTTTTTTAAGCAGTCTGAGAGAAATAATATATTGACTACAGGAGAAAAACAATTAGAATGACAGCAGATTTCTTATAGAACACCAAGGAAGTGGCATGACATTCAAAGAAAATGACTGTTAGTCAATCCTATGTCCAGCAAAAATATCTTTCAGGAATGAAAGGGAAATCAAGACATTCTCAAAAAAGGAAAACTAAGAATTTATTGCCAACAGACCAACCCTGAAAGAATGGCTAAAGGAAGTTCTTCAAACAGAAAGGAAATGACAAAAAAAGAATCCTCGGACATCAAGAACATAGCAACATAGAAAGTAAAAATATGAGCTCTAAGAGAGGACTGAAGGGGAAGGACTACTAGCACAGCATGGAGTCATGTCAAACTACACCCACATGAGCAAGCCATGGATGGACTGTGTCTGTGCAGAGAAGCCTGCACAGAAGAACTGCTCATAAGCAAAGCTATTGTCTCTTTCTACAGCATATGCATGGAACACCAATGTGGCAGGCATGCTTGGCATGCTAACCCAACCAACAGGCAAGACTCCCGTACTTTCTTGATAGCAGAACTATGATTTAGTTCTTCGTTGGCATTCATGTGATGCAGGGGAGACCAGTTCCCTACCCAGACCTATTGACAGAATTATGATGGGCTTATGCCAATTGTTGTAATTCCATTCCCTTTGCCAATACCTGGTTCAGACATGGGCATGAGAAGCAATTCTAAAGAAGGATCCTTTAGCAGATATTTTCTGAGGGGCTGCTGGGAAAGGTTTTCTCATAGATAAAGATATATACAATGAATTAACATTCTCTTTTTTCTGCCTTTGGAAGTCAATGTGATATATGAAACTGAGGCAGCCAACTTGTGACCATAAAGGGAGCCTGTATATGAGGATAAGCTCACATGTTGCAAAGAGCAGACAGAAAGATGAAAAGAAGGTGGTTTTTAAAAGACATCACTGAACAGCTGTATTAACCAAATCTAGTACCACCATACTCATATTCTGTGAAGTGATACATTTTTCTTACTTATCCCTCTCAAAAACTCCTTTGTAAACATCACTATAAAATGCTGGAAGAGTAGTCCATTATATGAACATACTGTCCTTACACAACTGTTTCCCTATTACTGTACCCTTGTTTTTCTCTTCTTTTTTCCATTAAAAAGGATACTGCAACAAACATCTTCCGGCATAAAGCTTTATCTGCATGAAGGGTAGACTTTCCATGGATTTTGCTCCTAGAAGTATACTATGTCAAAGAGTATGGACGCTTTTGAGTTTCTTGATATGTAGCATCAAACTGATTTCCAGAAAGTGTGTATTGATTAAATTCCTACTAGCAATATGTGTAGCCTGTCTCATATCCTTGCTATCCAAAGTAGGCACTGTGGGTTGGCTACCCAGGAACCATTATTTTCCTTTCATCCTTGTTGATAGAACCAAAGTTTGTAAATCCTGAGTAGTCTAGATCAATCTTGTTAATCCCATTCCTGTTGCTAGTGAGTGGTAACAGGTGGGCACGTAAACCCAGTCCTGGTCAATGACATTAAATAGGGGGTGAACCGGGTAAGTTTTTCATTTTTAAGAACAAGAGACAATGTCTTTCACTGGACATTTCCATATCTGCATGCAACATCCTGAACCGTGCCAGTCTAAGGACAAAGCCAAAGAACTGGAGTAAAGAATGGGAGCTTGATGATGTTGCTGAACCCTCGAATTAAGCAACCCTTGATCCACCTTTCCTTGGGTTCTTTTTATGTAAGATAACAAACCACACACAGCTCAAAAAAATTCCAACAGAAAATTTTGCTTGTCAGACATTTTTTTTACCCTAAGGTTAAACTGATAGCTACTTATGATATACAATTCATAATCCAAAAGGAAACAGACTTAAAACCTGTTTCACGTATAACAATTAATTTAAATTTTAAATAAACACTGTTGAGCAGCCATCTCTTTTCAAAAAGAATTAGAGATGAATATAACTAAAATTAAAAAATACTATTATGGTCATTAATTTGGACTGTACAATGAGAAAAATCATGTTTAATTAAAAATGGTCTTAAAATAGATTACCAAAATAAATGAATACAAAGTGTGTACTTACAAATCAAACACCAAGTAATGGAAGCCCTCTTCTGATATGCTGTCATGAAGCCGCACTAAAGAAAAAAAACAGAGAAGGTCTGTGTTGTATGTATACCAATCATCAACACTGAGCCAGACTCTTAACACTCCTAACAGGCATCAGGACTCCTACTAGAAACATTAGCATCACTCTTTATTTTAGCCTCTGATAAATCAGTGTTCTTTACAACAAGGCTTGGGTTCAGACAGACTCAAGGCTTGGCTACTGGGTCTGATAATTATTAACTGTATGATCTTAATGATAATAGTACCTACATTTTATACAACTGTTGTGAACACTGAATGAGACAATACAAATAAAATAATCCACATATTGCTAAGCAGTTGCTGTTATTAGGTGCTGTCAAGTAGATTCTGACTCATAGAGACCCCATGTGACAGAGTAGAACCCCCTTTTAAGGTTTCTTGGCTGTAGTCTTTATGGAAGCAGATTGCCAGGTCTTTCTCCCACAGAGCGGCTGGCTGTGTTTGAACCACCAACTTTTCGGTTAGCAGCCAAGCGCATAACCAAGAGTAAACACTAAATAAAATCCACATATTCAATGTTATCAAGTTCTAGCAATTCCTCCCCTATGAGTCTCTTCCTTGCCATTCCATCTGCTATCACTCTAGTCCAGGTCCTCACCAATTCATGCCTTGATCACTGTAATAGGCAGCAAGAGGGATCACTTTAAGGTCTACTAATTGATCTCCCTGCCTCTGCTCTCCCTTTTTTCCAGACATTCCTACATACCTCTCCCTGACCAATCTGTCAAACTGCAGTTTTTATTATGCTATTTCTTTGCTTAAGATGCCAAATCCATTTACCAAGTCACTAGCCAAAAATATACAGCTAGCACTTTTAATTAAAAAATCCACTAGTTCTTCAAATTAATACAACTTTAAATTTTCCAAGGAGCTAGAATTTCACCGATAACTTCAGCCAGAAACAATGTTTCTCTCTTTTAAATTTAAAATACTCATTGTCTACTCTAAACTAAATCATGATGTAATACTTACATATTGCTTTGTTTGCTATTTATTTTTACATAAGCACCCCCCCCACCCCACATCCCGTTCCCAAAGATGGTAAACTTTTCCAGAACAGAGACTGATGTTCTTCTTTTCTAATTACCCAAATCACCTGGGGTGCCGTGACCTTCACTGGGTATAGCAGAGGACAAGGAAAGCAACAAAGTCACAGGGCACAACTGCTTGCATAAAGTCATCACAAACAGAGAATGATCTCTACTACTACCTGTCCTTGGTATGTTTCCCATGCAGTGATCGCCACCAAGTAGAAAATGTGGATTCAAAAGGACATTTAGGCTACCACACAAACTACAACCATCTATGGAGGGAGTATGCGGTGCCCATAAGATTTTCAAGCTCATAAACTTAATATAATCTCCTTTCTTTACAATCTAGTTCCATCCACTTCAGATCTCATCCTTGGCCCACTGTAAAAACCCTTTCCAAACTGCTCTCCAAAAACTTCTCCAAGGTGGAGAAAGCGAGACTTTTGCTTTATCCCCATTATAGACTATCATTGGTAAAATGGAGCCCTGGTGGCACAGTGGTTAAGAGCTTGGCTGCTAACCAAAACATCAGCAGTTGGAATCCACCAGCCACTCCTTGGAAACCCTATGGGGCAGTTCTACTCAGTCTTACAGGGTCGCTATGAGTCGGAATCAATTCGATGGCAATGGTTACAGTTTTTTTTATCAGTAAAATGTAAATTTTCTATTATCATCAACACAAGGAGGGGTTCCCTTAATGTAGGCAACTGTGAGACCATGCAATTCAGTCTTTAGACCCTCTAGTCCACTTGGCTTTTGAGTGCATGAAACATAAACACTCTGCAGTCTCCCCTTCCTAGTTTTATTTTTCTCATATTGTTACCCTTGAATCCACTGACTTAGCGTATTCACTTTTGCTAATTTAATCTAACACTGCTCATTTCTTCAGTATATAAAGTTTTCTTCTCATCAATATTACCAAATAGGAACTATATCTTGTAAGTCTTGGCATACCTCAAAAAGAACTGACATAGTATTTTCATAAAATAGTGTTTGAGCAACAACTATACCAGGTGCTGTGCACTCTTTCAGGGTACAGAAATTTTCAACAAAGCTCGTTATACCTGTATATGTCTAAAATAAAATGATTAATGCACAAGCAATTGTCCTGTAACTTTAAATGTGTGAATGGCATTGTTCAATCTGCCTGTGTCAGAGACGCCTGCCACTATTGTTTAAGGTAATACTGACAAACATTATCAAAAGTTTGGCTTGATGAGGTATTTTCTACTCATGGTCATTCAGTACAGTAAAGAAAGCCAGGTCATGGCTACTAACGCACTGCTCAGGCTTTCTGGAAAGACACAGTCTCACAGATAAACACACTGACCACCTGTAACACGATCTGTGTTTGAGTTCAAGTAACGACAGGACTACTTAAATAATGCTACCTTATTTTTCTTTGCCAAATTTATTAGATAATTCAAAATGTACCAAGTATTCACAATTATCCTGCGAAAATAAGACGGGTGCCTATGCTATCAATGTTAAAATGTAAAAATCACAATGTGAGCAGGAGAAAATTCAACATTTCTCTCTTCCATTGAGTCAAGATAAAAGTTTCAATTGGAGGTGTGATCTCAGGTGTTCAGATGAAAGGGTGGAAAAGCTGAACAAAGAAGGATATTTCAGGTAAAGCTGGAGAAGAAATACTAATTTGTGGTTATATCTGGAATAAAATTATCTTAATACAATTACCATTAGCTTATTAATACTTGTAAACAATCACCATTTGGAAATGAATTATTTTTTGAACAAATCAACAGTTACTTAAATGCATGTGTAATGATCAAACATATGATATGGCTTTTGGTCAAAACCAGTGTCACAAAAACATTAGTCAACAAGCACATGACAATGGTTAAAGACAAACCATTTGGTCAGGTTCATTCCTTTTGCAATACACAATTCCAAAATAATCTCTAGTATTTCTAACTGTTTGACCATGTGAGTTAAATCTGAATGAATGATGATACTGATAGCAGAAAGAAGTCAGCATCATCCTCACTTGGAATAAATATATACACATTTTTTCTTTCTCCCTTTACTCCTTCCATCCTTATATCCCTCCCTACTTTCCTTCCACTCTTTTCTTTTGTTCATGTTTTTTTTTCTTAAAATAACGAAGTTAAAAAAAAATCAGAACTATATGAAATTGTCACAATTTCTACTTACTAACAAAACTGTAATAAAATGCATGCGAAAGCTGGACAATGAATAAGGAAGAATGAAGAAGAACTGACGCCTTTGAGTTGTGGTGTTGGCGAAGAATATTGAATATGCTATGGACTGCCAAAAGAATGAATACATCTGTCTTGAAAGAAGTACAGCCAGAATGCTCCTTAGAAGGGAGGATGACAAGACTTTGTCTCACATATTTTGGACACGTTATCAGGAGGGATCAGTCCCTGGAGAAGGGCATAATGCTTGGTAAAGTGGAGGGTCAGCAAAAAAAGAGGAAGACCTTCAATGAGATGGACTGACACAGTGGCTACAACAATGGGCTCAAGCATAACAACGATTGTGAGGATGGCACAGGACTGGGCAGTGTTTCATTCTTTTGTACATAGGGTCGCTATGAGTCGGAATCAACTTGACGGCACCTAACAATAGCGACAACATATAATACAGTATTTACAGGAACTTTCTACATGTTTACCATTACACTGAGAATGGGGTTGTTTCCTTTTAAAATTTTAACTCTTCATTACTCTCAGAGTTAATTATATGTCTATACATTCTGGAAGACAGTGTCTTACACAGTCACAAACATCATCTATTTCTCTTCAAGCCTTTTCTGTCAGTCAAAAATATCCTTCATATTCATCCTTTTTTTCCTTTTTAACAGTTGTCAAGGGTTGAAAATTGTGTTTACTTTTATTAAAAAGTTGCATTAATTATTCCCTATAAATAATTGTCATTTCCTTTTTACACCAAAGGAATTACACAAAGCTGTGTTCCTCACAGCTGTTAGCACGTGACTGACTGCAGAGCCAGCATTGAAAGCACTGTGGCTGCATGTGGAAACATATTGTACCACGTTCTAACTATGGTATTGTTCTCTTATTGCCATAAGCTACACATACGGGTGCACACAATCAGCCTAATTACAATCATCACTAAGATACTTTTAGAGAAAAATTTTAAGGAAGATAATGAGAAAAGCATTTCAGAAATGAAGTTATAATACACCTTGGCAGAAATTCTTTTCTGAAGTTTGCTCAAAGATAAATTCAAGTTTATGAATAAATAAATTTTCGTAAATTATGAAACAGTATAACAGTTCTTATCTAGAGTAAAATTTTAAGTTCTAGTATTGTAACTATAAAATCTATAAAGGGGAAAAGGAAGCTAAAATCTTTTCAAACATTAGTTACTCAACGCCTAATTCTATTCTTCTCTCTGCTACATACATTCTAAATTTGGTAATCTGCATTCGAGGTATCAAAGGATCAACACTTCTCTTCCTGTTGATTCTATGTTCTTATATGATTTCACTACAGCTCTAATTACTAGCTTCACAATCAAGGGGCCAAATAAGACCAAGTAAGGCCAAAGAGGCCAAATAAGACCATGGCCCCTGTAATTAAAGAAAATTAATTTGAAATACCGGTGGCATAGCTTCCAGCATCACAGCAAAACGAAAGCCACTACAGTACAACAAACTGACAGTCAAGTGTTAGCCATTGTAAATTAGGTGTCTTAGTTCAGTTATGGCAGTTCCCATTGTCTAATCTGACTTTCATAAAATAGCAATCACAGCAGTCTTCAAGTATGCTGGGTCTCCCTTCACAAATTTGTTCCTCACCATTGTGGGAAAAGTGTGTCTCCTAGCCACTCCAAGGGTAGGTCTGTGGGTCCAATCCACTCTAACATGACAATTTCCCTAGGCCTTTGATATGTCCTTCTACTGTATACCAAGACACATCAGGCATTTCAACTTGATTTACAGAAGG